GGCTCCACCTCGTATCGTGATATCCTGTTACGGTACAGGGGAGTTTCGGTGCGATCGATACGAGAGAGAACGCATACACACACACGCGCACATACATACATACTTACACGTACACGTACACGTACTCCCCCCTGTGTAGTAAAATTCCATTCGATGTTTCCGCCGCATGTAGCTCTCTGTGCCAATATTGTCGGTGTATATGAATGATCGATAAATTTTTGGACAACAATCAAGCTGGCTTTTCGAAGAAGATCCGGTTCTTCCAAGGTCTTCGAGTCTCGACATTTTCGAGATGTTAATACGATTGAACGTGAGATTGTTTGGATATTTAATTTTGGATTATATTGGACTAACCCGAAGGTTATTAAGTTTTCCAGCATTTTTGAATAATTTAAAATTTTGAGTGATTTTGTTTGTTTTTTTTTCCCCCCAAAAAAGTTGGAAAAGTTTTACATAATTTTTTTAAAAATATGTTTGCTAAACGCATGAATATTAATATCGTTTTTTACGATCGAGATGATAATTTTTAAGAAAGAGAAAAATTTCGTTTTAAAAATATTAAACTAAAGATTTGATATTACTTAAATTTTAAATTTTTTGTCCGAGAATTTATCATGTTATGATCATATCTAAATGCTCAGCGCAATTCAAGCTTGTCGTAAAACAGTGTTGTGAAAAATTGAAGGTTCGAGAAATTTTTGTCAATATTTTGCAAATATTGTATAATAAGCAGTGACAATCATTCTGTATTTTGAAACAAAATGAAAAGAAAATATAAATATATATATATATATTCTGATAATTTTATAAAACCTACGTTTTCACAACACTAAATGGTTCAATTATTATGCCTATTTTCTCAAATGGTGTTTTCCAGCTTCAGAAATTAACTCTCGAAGGATCTTATTTCTTAATGTTCGAGATAATTAAATAATCTTCAAAAGATTTTCAAATTTTTACTTTTGTTCTATTTAACGAATTTTGAAGTTGTCACTATAAAATTCATATAAATTCTATTTCATGATTTTAAAATTCCAATATCCAAATTCCAATAGCATCGATCCTTTGAGCGTTAATCGATCCTTCGTTTCATTCTTGTTATGGAAAATCTATTTATCTGAATTTCGTTTCTTGAAATTTAGAATAAATCGTAAGAAATTGTGTGAAAATATTTTTTTATCAGTAAAACGATGAACTCTTGATTATCTACTATATTAAATCGCATATTAGCGGTTTGAAAATAATTAACTTTTTTTTAATTATTAAATGTTATACTATTTCAGAAAAAAATTGTAGATACAAACGTTATCTTCATTCCTCTATGGATCCAGATAAATAGAATTCTATCGTATTCGCTAGAAGTGTGCAGAATTTTGAAACGATGAGCTCGGAAAAATTCGTGCAGGATTCGTGTTCTCGTACTAATTTCAGGATCCGATTCGACGCACATTCGTCACCGAGAATTCGACATCGGTTCAGTTCGGCAATACTCGGAGGCGATCGATTTGGAACACGTTGCCATCTTATTTAAACCGTTTAACTTCGAGAACTTTTTCCAATGATTCCAACCAATACGAAATATATCGTTTGATCATTTTAAATTTAAAGTTCGCGTTTCTGAATAACGCGTGACAATCCTGCATACTTCTAGCATTCGATCAATTTACTTATGCAATTTATTTATTTTTCTCTCTCTCTGTGTTATCCTTGGCGAGTGTTCTGGCTGTGTTAACCGATCCGCGTGTCGTTTCACTTTGGTCACTTGGCATTGACGTTGCAATCTGTATTTGCTCCTTTGTGCGCGCTCCTTGTGATCCTGTCCCTTCTTAGGCCACGATGCTGAAGAAGACCAAGGGTAAAATGAAACGGCGTAACACAGAGTCCAGCATGCAGCTGGCGCTTCAGGCAGCAGCCTCGAACGATCCGGAGCCTGAACTCTTCTGAGTGTCCGAATATAGAGTCCCGTGCAAGCGGATGGATGTCACGACACGAGTATTATCACGTATTTGCACGCATAAGTGGCACGGTTGTAGCACAACACGCAACAAACGAAATCGGCCTCGAAATTCGTCTGTCTGACCACGGTCACGCGCTGTACGAACTTGTTATTTCTAGTAAGCACAAAGAACGGAAAAAAAGAAAAAAAAAAAAAAAAGAAAGGCGAGAAAGAGAAGGATCATACACACGAATAATATACCACAACACTGATATACGATGCATATACATACACAAGTGAGTACAATTTCTCTTTGATGAATAAAAAAAAAAAAAACGCAAGCGGGAGCTCCTTTAGGAAATATAATAAAGAAGAAAAGTGCGAACCTGATGATTTTACTTACCACACACGAAGCTCTCCGTGATCGCTAAAGAATCCAGAAGAATGGAGAAATGGAGGAAAAAGAAAAAAAAAAAAAAGAAAAAAAGAGGACAACCAGGACAAACGCTCGTCTATGTGGACACACATCATTATAAACTCAAAGATAATCTTTAATGTCCTTTTTCCGAGTTGCTAGGATGAAAACAACTAGATCTCATTTTTAAATGTTAATAATCATTAATTGTAGCATTGTACGTAGCTTTGATCGATATTTTTTTAGTAAAACGATAAAACAAAAGAGAGAGGAGGATTAAGAGAGAAGAGAGAATGCATGAGCGAGAGAGAGAGAGAGAGAGAGAGAGAGAGAGATTTTATGTATGTTGAGTATGTAAGGGAAAAAGAAAGAAAGAGAGGGAGAGAAAGAGAAAAATGAAGCGAGTCAGAAAGAGTGAAAGGAGTGTTATACATGATAGGATAATTAAAAATCACGTTACCAAAAACAGCAGCAGTATTGAAACAAGTTTCTCCCCCGTTTAATTCGCTTGACAGCCATATTTGCGCATTTACGTTGTATAGTTCGTTATTTAGTCTCGGAAATGCGATCGAAAGAAATGAAAAAAACGTAATTGTACATGACATTTCGTATTGGTATTTTACTAATTTACAGTAAGTATCATGATACGAATCCCGTAATCACGAATATCGAATACATACAAGATCAGTTGTTATCTATTAATATAATATATATATATTAAAAAAAAATATAAATATATATATATATATAAAATATTTATGATTATAAATATTAATATATTTACAAAAGAGTAATGTATTAGTATTACAGTTTTAAGTTGTGATAACTGTTGTGCGTCTGACTGCTGGGCAGTCTGGAATTTATAAGAAAAAAAAAAAAAAAAAAAAAAAAAAAAAAAAAAAAAA